ACTATCTTTTGGTGGATCAAACTTGTCACCATCTGGAGATAGCCACCTTTCAGGCCTAAACTCCATGCAATCTTCTCCCCATATAGTCTTCATTCTTCCAACTGAATAAATCGAATATGTCACAGTTGAACCAGCGGGCACGAATGTGCCATCCGGTAAGACATCGTCTTGGATAACATGCTTGAAGTCCTGAGGAACTGAGGGGTATAAACGCAGTGTTTCAGCTAATGCTGCTTTGAGATATATCAACCTCTCTGCTTCATCAAACTCCAGAGGCTCTTCAAGCCATTTTTTGTTAGCCTGACCACGAGTGGTGCGGAGAACAGTTGATATTTCGTTGATAATCTTTTGTTCAATCTCTGGATGGTTCATGATGAGCCAGAAGAACCAGCTGAGGGCTACAGAAGAGGTGTCCCGGCCAGCGAGGACAAAGTTTAGAGCAATGCGTTGGAGAACGGCGCTTGTAAAGAGATTTCCCCCAGCATCTCTTTTCTTCATGAAACGGGACAGTAGATCATCAGATGGAGTTTCTTTTCGTACTTCAATGGCATCGTTCATGTAGTTCTCAATGATTTGGAGGCTACTCTTTAACCTTTTCTCTGCTCCAATTCCTAAAATCTTCTTCAATCTCCATAGTAAACCAGGATAGAGAAGCCTATTGAGAGTTGTTTCAGTGGCAGTGTCAAAAGCAATAGCAAATGGATTTTCGGGTAAGTCAGGAGAGAGTGTTTCCGGGTCTTTACCAAAGGTAAGGCCACAAATGTTGTCAAACGTTAAGCGAAGCAACAAGTCTTGCAAGTCCACTGATTTCTTCTCTTTGGATGCTTTGTCTAAAATACACCATAGACGATTCTTGATAGTCCGATTCACCCACCGAGCCATGGCTTGCCTGAGTGTCCGGGTTGTGAACTCAAGCGCTGCTGTTTTCCTTTGTATGAGCCATTCCTCTCCATCACTATTGAAGATCCCTTGCCCCAAAAGATCATGAAATGCAGCTTGCCAATGAGGCCCTTTCGGGTAATTATCGAACCGTGTCCGGAGAATGTGCTCAAGGTTTTTGGGGTGACAAGTGACAGTATAGAACCCTTGCCTGCAAGCCAAGAAAGGAAGAGCAATAGTACATGTTTGGTAGGTTGCTAAGCCACCTGTTGCTCGAAGGTTACTAGCAATCCAATCATGGATCCTCCTCCGGTTCAGGAAAAGATATGGTAGGCTACCAACTAGAGGCCATGCTCTAGGACCGGTTAACCTCCTGACAAGGAGATGGAACCAGAGTGCGTAAGCAAATATTGCAGCAGCTAGGCCGAAGACAAATGGAATGGTTTCCATGGGATATTAGAGAATTACTGCAAAGGTGCAGAATTGTTGCACTAGACAGTTTAGTTTTGAGAGAGATCGATAAGAATGAAGTTACATATAAAGTGAAAACATAGAAAGGTTTAGGAAAAGTAGTTAGGAAATTTAGTCCTTGGGGATAGAGGTTGTGGTTGGGTTGATAGGAACCATTTGAAAAGAATTTACACGAAAAACATTCAAAGATTTTTCAGTAGGTGCTGGAAAAGACCTAGTCTCGCGCCCATTAATTGAGACGTTAACTTTTGACATCAAATTTTATTGATTATTATTGGTGGATGGCTAGTGATGGATGGTTGGGGTTGAGAAAAAAAAATCGATAAAATTAAAAATTGATTTAAAATTGTAATATTTAGTTTGGTTTGATTAGTTTTTTTGTTTATTTAGTTTAAATTAAGTTTAAATATTAAATATTTATATTAAGTTTAAATCAAATTTCGAAGTAAAAATTTTTTAAAAATTTATACCAAACTTAATTATATATATTTTAGTTTATATATATATTTTTAAAATTTTTACAAAATAAAAATAATAATTTTATATCAAAATCTATTTAAATATATTAAAATAATATATAAAAATAAAAATTAATAAATTAATAAATCGAATCAAATTGAACCAATAAAATTAGGCTTAATTCGATTTAAATCGTATAAAAATTCGGTTTGGATTTAAATTCAAATTAAAATTTAAAAATTTATAATAATATGTAATATTCAAAAAAATTGAATTAAATTTGATATGATTCAAACTATTATTACTCTTACATTAAAATATCAAAAGAATATATATATTTTTGGATTAGAATTTAAAAAAAATAATTTTTCATGAAATTTTTAAATTTGATGCATATAAATTTATTTAAACTAATCCAGAAAACAGATATATTTTGACAAACCCCAAGACCCCTTACTATTCAATAAAAAAATATATTGGTTATTTTTTTCATTACAGTGAATCTGTATTTTTCAATCGGCAACCGGATTCTTAAACTTTAGGATCAACTTGTTTTCCACAAAACCAACAGTTCACTCTTTGCTTTTCCTTGAATTCTTGCTTACCCTTTTGCAAAGAAAAAGACAGAGAGAGTGGTTAGAGATAGTTTACCCGCATTGAGAAAATGGGTTTTTGTTACAAAGCCTAGATAAAAAAAATAGCACACGTTAAAGCTATAATTTGACTCCATTTGGCTGAGTAGATTCAAGAGTGGGGAAACTTTGGGAGAAAGAAAACAAGGGCTTAAACGTTTCCCTTTTGCTCTTTCCTTGAGGAAACTGATCACACCAAACACCTTGATTTTTTTTTTTTTTTTTTGCTTTCCAAATTAAATAGATTAGGGATTATTACGTGATAAATTATGAGTCAAATACCATTGAACTTTGATTTGTTGTTTTACTGTTTATTTCAATTTATTATTGTTCATTTGAATGTATGATAAAATTAATTTCGATAAAATTAAAAATAATGATAAAGATGAAATTAATTATTATAATGATAAAATTTAAATAAATGATGAGATATTTATATTTTTCTTAATATAATAAAAGAGAGCATAAAATATAATATTTAATTTAATTAGTTTATGCAATCGATTTAAATTTTATTACCTATAAATCTTATTTTAATAATCAAATTACATTTGTAAAAAAAAGGAGGAGGCATGAACACATGGGGGATTGATTTTCTTGAGCCTTTTGGACTAATAACTAACCAATCATCTCCCTCCACAAAATTAAGTTATTAATCATCTTAGGATGGGGCCTTTCATTAACTTATAGGTATCTTCTTCCTTTCTACGCATGTTAAGTCGTGAAAAGGGAATTACGTAGTATGATTTCAAACTTGAAATCATGATAAATGTTCCATTTTAAAAGGTATAATAATTAATAGTTTCAATGTTAAATTAAAAAATGTTTTTAAGTTACCGATCTTTGAACCAATATTATAATTTTTTTAGGTTCACACATTTGAGATTAAATTCATGTATACAGATCTAATTCTTAGGACAAAATAGCTTAACTCAAATTTTTATAAAAAAATAATGGATCTAAGCGCGAGTTTAAAATTTTTTTTTTTTAGTATTTAAGATTATCATAAATTGAATCCTGATTATTAAAATAAAAAATTTAATATTTTATTAATAGATTATATACTTTTATGATTATTGGCAAAAAATAATTTTACAAATAGCAATAAACAATATGAAACCCAATTAAAGTTAATTTAGTAGCAAAAATATAGTAAATTTTACTGGTAACTACTTACTACAATATTTTACTTGCAAAAAGGTAGCGATGGTTTCGAATTTTACCTCCGCAATTTAATTATCAAAAGATAGGGGAAAACCGCAAATTACCCATAACGACAGACGGGCTGTGGGGTTAAGCCCAATGTGAAGCCCGTTTCTTTCCATCATATTTGTGGGCGCAGGGGATCATTTCTACTCTGTTTTAGCTTTGCTCTACGTCTACCCAGCTGAGGCCCACATCAAAAACCACCGAGAAGGAAAATTGTCTTTTTTGGTGAAAGTGAGATATTAGTTTTAATAGACTTGGGAGGGTTAGCAGTCCAACCCACTTCCAATTAGTTTCGATTCAATTTGATTTTATTAGATCGATTTTTATTTTTTTTAAAATTAAATTTTTGATCAAATAATAATAATAAAGAAAATAATTAAATATGACCGATTTGATATATAAAAAAAATTTATTTTTTAATTATATATATTTATATAATTTTATATTTATATTAAAAATAATATTTTATATTTTAAAAATAATATTTTATTAATTTTAAGTTAAATCATATTAAATATAATTTATATAATATCAAATTGATTTAGATTAGATATAAAAACATAAAAATATCTTCTAATTAAATTTAAAATTTATAAATATAAAATTAAATCGAATTCGAAAAAAAGTAAAAATTAACTTCGTTGTTATCTTTAAACTTTGAGAAATGCGATGATTCCTTTGGCTTCTTAAGTTAAACAGCAGAATGAGGTGAGTAATTGATTAGTTTGGTTGATTTAATTTAATAAAATTAATAATTAAATTAATTGATTTTAAGTCAATTTAAACGGTGGAAGAAGGAAGAAATTGATCAATTTGGTTGATTCAATTTAATAAAATTAATAAGTGAATTAATTAATTTTCATTCAATAAATAATTAAATTGATTAAAAAATTTTAAATAATTAATTACAATTGAATTGATAAAAATTGATTTGATTTAATTAAATAATTAAAATTTATTATTATTATTATTTATTATAGATAATTATTTAATGATAAATTTAATTTAATAAAATTTAAATTTAAGTATCATGTACTTAAATTATTAAAGAATTAATAATTTTAATAATATTTTATAAAAAATAAATAAAAATACTAATTTTAACTTTTTTATCTTTATTAAAAATTGATTAATTCGATCAATTAAATTATTAATTTTAAAAAAAAAAAATTTATTAATTAAATTAATTTAATAGATTTGAAAAGTTAATTATAATTAAAATCAAATAAATTTAATTTAATTAATTTTTTTCCTCGATTTGATGGATTAAATCGGTTTGAACGGATTTTTCTCACCCCAACAGCTAAAAGCTCTTAAGCAAAGTGGATAACCTTTTGCCACGTGTTAATCCCATGTCCATATCTGCTAAGATCAACTCTCAACCCTTATTTTTCCTCCTCTCAAAAATAAAAATCACAAACCCCACCAAAAAAAAAAAAACCATTAAAATACAGCAATGAAGATAAGACACTTGTGGAGAGCTCATGGTGCAAACACTCCCCAATTCTGCCCACTAATCATCTAAAATCCCATCCAACGGTCCAAAGTTCACTGCGATCACTATCCCAATAAAATTTATTTTCCACAATAACAGAATCTCCTTAGCTCCTTCACCATCATTTCAAAAGACCAGAAAAGAGGTGACAATGGCTTCTCTGTTAATTTCCTTTGCTCCTTCTACAACAAGGGTTTTTGCAGCAACAGTTGCAAAAGTTGCAGGTGGAAGCAAAGAAGAGAAAGGGCTTTTTGATTGGATTCTTGGGAACTTGCAGAAGGAAGACCAGTTTTATGAAACTGATCCTATCCTCAAGAAAGTTGAAGAAAAGAATGGTGGTGGCAATTCCAATGGCAGCAAGAACACTGTTTCTGTCCCGCAGAAGAAGGGTGGTGGCTTTGGAGGACTTTTCGCCAAGAAATGAAAATATCATAATTATCCAATCATCTTTTTGGGGTCTCATTGGTTTGGAATTCCTTTTTTTTTTTTAATCTTTGAAACCTTTCTTGATTCTTGAACACTTAGCTGTTATTAATATCCTTCAATGTACACTACTTTTTTCTCTATAAATTATGAATTCAGTTGAAGTTAGATGTTTGGAACTTTGAATTTTCTGATTTTGGTGAGTTCTTTGTTGAGAAATTAAAACAGTCTACTACCAAGTAAATGAAAGTAAAGTGGCAGGGTGGTTTTTGGCTGAAAGGCTCATTACTGTTTAGGCTGTGAATTGATGTGCTTGTCTGCTTTAAGACATTAGAATAAAACAAGGCAAAGGGGACAGCAGATTTGATGTACAATATCCGATAAATTTGTCTGCAAAAAAAAATGGATTGTATATGGCAACATTTCATGCAATAGTGATAAAACAGAAACTGCTCTGTCCGTTGTATTGCTTTTTTTTTTTTTTTTTATGAAAATGCAACTGGTCATTTCTAAGTGATTGAGCAATATAAATGAATTAGCTCACTATTTGCTGACTCTTTGTTTTAACATTTCTGTAGTTGTCATAGAGGTAAAAGTGACAGCTTCTAACATTAATGAACATGACAAAACCTAAAGATAATGTACTTCATGCCTGGCAGAAATTTAACATTGTTCAGAAGATGTTAGAATAAATCAGAGAAAAGAGAAACATCCAGAGCTGACACAGGTTACAGAAAGTAAGTAGAATCATTTTTTGGCCAATGGTAAATGGCAGGACACTTGTCTGGATGATCAGCATCCAAGCAGATACACAAAATTAGGTGAAAACTATATCATTGTTTGCTCTCTTTCATAGTAATTATTTTTATCTTAAGATTTGACAAGACATCTAGGAAACTGCAAACATTGAACAAAGAAAGATTCGTTAGGATCTTGTTATATTGAGCGTGTTTGTTTTAGAACAAAGGCTAGTTCAAGCTAAAGAACACAGTACATGCATGGAATAGAGAAGGTTGTAAAACCCAAATTCCAAACACGACCGTGTTTAATCAAGGGGTTCAAATCAAGCCTTGGAAGTAGACAGGATAGATGAAGTGGGGTGATTGTTGGGTGCCAATTGACAAGCAATAATGACGAATGTCGCACTATTGGCATGTCTATTTTGGTCTTGCCATGAAGAAAGCTAGGCATGCTCAGCCAATTCTGTTCTAAAAAGCCAGAATTCTAACGCACACGCCGGATTTCGAAAACAATATCATGTGATTGCTGTGTCCACAAGAGACCTGTGCAGTTGGTTCGGATCTTCGTCCTCTTTGAATGTTGTAATAACTTTGACATCTAGAAAATTTTTTTGGTAGAAATGTGCTCCTCTTCACCATGGAAAATGTGGTAAAAACCAATGGATTTAATAACAAAATATATGGCTTTCTAGGTAAACTCAATAATGCTTTACTTTCATTATCTAAAGAAAAAGACAAATGTACATATAAGCTACTAGGATGCTTAATATTTTCATCAAACTATCTTTAAGAGCAAATATTACCGTTGACTACAGAGTTCAATGAGAATTAGCAGAAACAGAATTTGATCTAGGGAAAGAAGCAGAAGAGTAGATAAATTCGATGCACTCCTCGATGGCAGCATTTCTATGAGAATCAACAGGAGTTACAAATGGCTTTGATCTTCCTGATGAAGAAGAAATCTTAGGGGAAGGCCTAATTCTCATGGACACCACATGTAGTACTTTTGCTACTTTACCACCAAGATGCTTGAGAAACCTTACCGGCGAAAATTCAGCTCGTTTACATTGCATGAAGCCACAACTTCTGGTAACCCCTCGGTTAGCAGCGGCCCTGGTATTAGACTTCTGTGTAACAGAACCATTTGCCTTGTTGTTTCCCTTTCTCTGACTGACTTTGCTGCTCCCTTTGGTTGACATCTTCTGCAGTTAGCTGACCTTTAAGAGAAAAAGATAAAGAGTTAGGGTGTTTCAGTAGAGGCAAGAGCTGAAGTTGCAGTTAAAGCAATGGATGGAAAATGGGGTGTGGATAAATGGGAGAGCTTGACAAATATAAAAGGAGACAATGCTGAAACAGTGAGCTCAGAAAAAGGTCAAGGCAAGGAGGGAAACATAATTAAAAAGAAAACAGAGAAATAAAAAGTTATGAATAAATAAGACCCCAACACTTCAATAGTGAAGTGGCTTTTGTAATCAAACCCAAATCATGGACTTACCTTCCTTAACTTTGCTTAAAAGGATACCATCCGTAGTTTGCTTTTTTTCTTCTATATAGCCTGCAAAGGATGTGATAAATGATCAAAGGAAAATAATCAAGACTAAAAGTGGTTCGAGCAAAATCATAAATATTGCAACCAGCATCTGAGTCTAAGTCTTGCTGCTCTCTTCTTATACAAAGAGAACCATTTTGATTCCAAGTTGATCGAATTGTTTTGATTTATGTGATTAAGGGTCTCAAACTTCTGGTCTTTCGGAGAAATTGTTAGTGATTTCAGGCATCTGTTGCCGGGCAAAAGTTTATACATAGAGGAGAAATGTCAATACAAGCAGGCAGCAGCTAGTTGCAAATGCCTGTCAAGATCTCCAAAAAAGTTAGCAAATGAATCTACTTACTCTTATGTCCATTTTTTTCCAACAACGTAAAAACCCACCACCATTTCACATCATAAATGTATGAATATATATTAAAAAAAAAGTTTGAATCATTCTTTTTCGTTTTCAAAACGCTTACATCATGACAAAGTGAGCAAGATGCCCCACTCTGCAAGGCTACAAATGAAATACGAAATGCTATCATTTTCTGCAGTAGTTGGTGGGGACATGGAATTCTTATGTACACACGAGGGACTATAAACTAAAACTACTACCAATATCAAATCATGTCCATCAGAAAAAGATGTTCGAAGAAGTTGGCAAGAAGTGTTTTAGAGAACAGGAAAAGGAATAAAAAGAAAGGACATAGGTCACTAAGCCATGGTAGCCTCCTTGGAGTTTTCTTTGATTTTCCAGTGCTCTCTTCAATTGGAATCTCTAAAGGGGATCGTCCAGAGAGAGAAAAAGAGGTGGGTAGGCTCGATATTCTTTTTTTTAGGGGACCCTTCTGCTATTTTCATTAAGTTTAATCTCTTCCCTTTAGAAAAAGAAAGTTTTAGATGAGGTAACCTTTCGGTAAATTGCTTTGATCTTGAATAAGATCAAAAACCCTTTTTGACTCTTGGAAATGGAGAGCTTCAAACAACATCCTTATCAGTATGGAAGCCACAAATTCCCTGCTTTTTCTTGGGGGATTTTGTTTCTGTTTCTTGTCCAAGAGAAAAGAATTGGAGGTTGGTATTTTCCATCAATTGGATTGAGTAAAAAGTATACAAAATAGATGTGAAAGGTGGTTAGAGTGTCACAGAAGAACTGGTATATTAAAGACACAGCAGGCCTCCATTTCCTAACCTCCCCAACCCTCAAGACAAAGAGATGCCTATTCATTAAGGCAAAAACAATATTACTACAGTATAATTTCTGATTAAGCGTGAACAAGGATGCAACATGATTATAATGTAACATTGGCATGTCAAAAATGCCAAAAGAAAAATTACATATAAAACTGTATCTGCACTCTCGCAGTTGATTAATGACAGTGTTTTGTGTCAAAAATTCAAAATCACAACCAATTGATAAAGTAGAAGACATTTTCTTTTTCAGTGCAAAAGTTGGACACAAAAGCATTCATCATATTAAAGATTATTAAGCCTGAATGAGTTCAAGACAAGGGGACCTAAAATGACATTCTAACCAAAGGGTAAATGCTCTGCTGAAAGCTGGACTGGTCTCACATAGATTCTTACTACTCTGTTTTCTTTCTACCTTTTCACTGAAATATGTACTCTGGAATTCAGAAGCATCCAATTAAAAGCCAAAATGAGTACTATATGCAAATTGCAGTCATGATTTCAAGTCCATTCAGATTACAATTGTTGGAAAACAATTCAATTATAATAGTTTTAGATTATTTGTAAAGACTAAAGGAGTAGTATATTTGTTAGTGCTGAATTAAAAACAAAAACTCAAACCACAACACTCACGCAATACTCAGACTAACTTGACACGTGAATAAGACCCAATCAGGCTTTAGTGATTACCAAACCATGTTGATCTCAAGAAGGTGCAGCTCGTCTAGAGTTCAATGATCATTCCTAAAAACTGCTTGTAATGACAGAGAAAAAAGACGGTTCTTAACCAGTCAACCAAGTGAACACCAGTATAAGCTCATCCAAACCCTTTCCCTCTCCAGCCACTTGCAATAAATCAAAGCTAAAAGGTAACTGCTGCAACTACAAAATACCAGTAGACCTTTGCTTGACAATACAAGGAAACCAGATCTCAACTGCTGTGATTGACGAAAGATGACTAGAGGCTGAAAGTGCCTGTGATGGGGAATTTAGGTTAACCCAAAAAAAGTGCATGCATATGAACAGATACATGCATGAGACTAAGTGGATCTAACATATAGGATATAATCTGATGAATACTATTTTCTTAAACATCTTTTTTCATTTTTCATTTCATTTTATTTTTATGATACAACCTGATGAACACTATTTTCTTAAACATCTTTTTTCATTTCTCATTTCATTTTATTTTTCTGGTTAATTTACTAAGCAAATCTAGCTACTCTTTCCTATTTCAATTGGTATTATGGATTGAAGTTCATTAGCAAACACCTGCCAGAATTGTTGCTCTTATATGTTACAACTAGCAGAGAACCAGACAATCAAATATAAGCCACATTCAGAGACAATTAGCAAACAGAAAAAGAAGCAATGTCAATTAGTCAATTTACAGCTAACGTAAGGTATCAACCATCTACTTTGAGGGCACTGGAGTATACAGCAGTAGCATTTTGCCATTTTCTCCAGTTATCTGCAGAACATGTACTGTCACATAATTCACACAAGTATTTCACTTGAATATAAGAAAATATGAAGTGAAGTAAGATGTCAATCAAAAGAAAGCAGAAAATAGCATTTCAGAAAGATGACTTGGAGTAGGAACCAGAACCCAAACTTTTATAGTCTGCCAACATTCATCCTCTGTCCTGTTTACAGCTTATCATTTAGCACCAAAACTTAAGATCATGGCCAGACATGCCTCAAAGACAAATACTATATGAAAAGGATAAGTGTTTAATCTCATGAACGCAGATAACATCTATTTGCAATCTTCATCTCATTATTGTTAAGGATTAAGATTTCATGTTTCTTGAATTCAATTTTTTTTACCTCATCTCTCTTGTACAATGATTTGCCTATAAATATATAATTCACTCCTCACTAGAAGTTGAGTGATAGTTTCTTTCACCTTTGCAAAACTTCAACATGGTGTCAGAGAATTGCACAATCATCACATCAATGTCACCACTAACCTCCTCCCAAACTGTCTAACCATTTCCTCTAACTAAATGTTCAAAAACCACACACACCTTAGTTATCACCATTGGTTTCTCAACCAAAAAAGATAAACAGGTCAACAAAAGTCAATTAATTGAATTCTTCAATAAACAGCATCTTAGTCTTTCAAAGTACAAATAGAATACAGAGCTTTTAAATATACACTTTCCTGTAATTCAAAGTGAAGAAAACTCACTGTCTATCATCATTTTTTACAAGCAACACCTGTCCATCATGAGAAATGATATACTCCAAGAATTCCCTAACTTCTCCACAATCCTTAAAACACTGAGGTTCCTGAAGATCACTATCCAAATTGTACCAAACTCCATCAATCTTTCTCAATGCCATCCAATGCCTACCTTTCCAGAGCCCACCATACCGTCTAACAGGAACATTAATCACAATTCCCATCAACATACCATCATTAAGATCAATAGCTGATGCCCCATTTCGACTATCGTGCCAAATCAAAGTCTTACCTTTCCCTTCAAGAGCAGCAATTAAAACATTGATATCATAGTTTCCGGTAACTGAATTATGGTGAGGCTTGAAGACCAAAGAAAAGGGTGTCCAAATTTCCTTGCTTGGGTCATCAAGAACGAGTTTTTCAGCAACTGAATTCAAACTTGCTCCAGTAAAAGCATCCTTTTGCTGAATTTACAAATTATTAATAGAAACCCATTCACAAGAACATACTAGAAAAGAGAGAGAAGGTACCTGGAAGAGATTGTTAAGGGAATGTAAGAGGCAAAATTGTAATCTTTGCCTTTCGTGATAGATTTGGTTCTGCTCGCTTGCCATGAATCAAAATTGTGAAAATTTGATTCTCTGCAAAGGGATCCAATAGCTGATTTGCTCGTCAAATTCAAGGGTTCTGGATTTTGATTAGAAGCTCAACTTTGTCGTTAAGCTGCTTGTTTTGCCGACCGTAAAACAGGCATTTTAAATTAAAAAAAAAGAAAAAAAGCAGAGCCCTTTCTGAGATTTTTTTCCCCCTTTTCTGGTCGGGGTTGGGCGGCGTGTGTCATTAACCTAGATTTTTACTCCAAAGTCAATCTTTGCCTTTCATAATCTTTAAAATGAACAGATTTTTTTTTTAACTCGAAATTTCTCTTTTTGATTCGTACCATTATTCAAAAGTTACATTTAATAAATTTGAATCTGAAATTTAATTTAATTAATTTATATAATAATTAATTAATTATAATAAAAAATTATATAAAAATTCATTACTTAAAAAATAATCTTTTATTTTGTTTTAAGTTATGACTTTTTTTAATAAAAAATAATTTTTATATATTTATGAAATTCTTTTGTAATCAAAGCCGAGAATTCACGAATTAAAGGAGTATATGTCAATTCTCTTATCCTTGATAGTTTTTAAATAGAGCTATTGATATTGATCTTTCTTCTATTCGTGGATTTAACACGTGATCTTTTGGAATAAAATAGACTTTAATCAGGTAGCAGCCAAAATTGAATTCAACTTACTCGATGATTGATGATATGTATAATTAAGACTGCCCGATTTGAGTCTAAACTCGGAATACATGCGTCAATGAGATACACTATGAGTTGGCTCAGCTGTCCAACCCTCTTCTAAGTTGAAAGAAATGATGAATGCTATGGCCTTCCAGAGTGGTTCTTCATATGAGGAACTTCAGAATTCTAGACACAAAATATCATACTATAGCAGACTGAAGAGGAAGACGAGAGCTAGGAAGTCAAACTCCATTAAGAGCCACATCCTGGACAAGCTATACTAAAGAACAGATATATGCAGCCAGCATAGCATATCAATAAACACCACTTAGAGGTTGAATATAGATACAATACGTGTTTCCCTCCAAATAATATCATAAACTTGCAACATGTAAGATGTCAATTACGGCACATTGGCACAGGTGGAAGTGCCTCCCCAGCACAGTGAGGCCCCAATTCCAACCAGAAATGCCGGGCGGCCACTTAAGTCTCCGAATACTCGTAGCTGGGTCACCATGGGTTTTTACATCCAAGAGTAACAGCAAGACAACTCAACCTAAATTTCAATCTATACCTCACTATTTCAATGCTATCAGCCTCGGCTATTTTGCCATTCCCATTTGGTGCAGGATCAGAGGCTTCACCCCCAGACCTGCGCAGCTCACCCTACCGTAAAGTGGAGGAAAAAACAACAGGGCCAAAGTCTGTTGCAAGTATTCTCTTGCTTTTACATAAGCAGGTTGTTCCCATATACACACTTCAATTTCTTTAAATTTCCATTCCGCATATACTTCAAGATTTTCTTTATCTTTCTTAACCTCCGCTTCATTAAGTTCAAAATTTTGACAACAATAGAAGATAAAATTCCTTAGCACAAACTAGAATATATTCCGAATAACTGTTTCTATAACAGAAAATTTTCAGGATTCTCTTACCTACAATTGATCCTTCTGTCTGTACTATGTACTTACTTTCTGCAATTCCAGTGTCCAAAACTTGTAGAAAACCACCTTGATATCTCTAATTCATCCATTCCCAAGACTGGTGCACCAAAGAATAAAAGTAGATACCTGGAGTTTATTAGTCACCTCCAAACAATCACTAGCCGCTTCAAGACAATGATAATTACACTTGTTGATCTGGTCAGACCTAATTACTAATTCTTTAGATAACAGCTACCCGAATTTCTAAGGCCAAACCAACGCATTATCCTGGTTTTAGTTTATTTTCGCCTCCCAGCATGCTATCAATTATTTCCATTTGAAATTTCAGGTTTAGGACGTTAGAATTTTATAACTTGAACCTCAATATTGCCTGTCCATTGCAGGCAAGCATAATAACTCTTTTCTAAAGTAAAGAATAACAAAATGCAATATGCAAATAAAGAATAAAACAGGAAGCAATGCTTTAAAGAATGTTAGAACATCGATGAACTAAATAGATACAATTTTGTAAAGATGTGAAACGATACAAAAAAAAAAAAAAACACTAAAAAAATTTACCAAACCTAGCCTGCAGCAAAGTTGATTTAGGCAAAGCAGAGAATTTCTTCAGGCTATGTGAAATGCAATGGTTTGTAGGTTAACCGAGGGAAAAATGTCATTGTTCTGCATCAGTATTCTCATCTGCCTCTGCAAATGTTAAGAATTCAAAATAAGAAAAAAAAATCAATAAAGATAATATCTGAAAAAGAACCATCAAATTCTTGTTTCCTTTTAGCATCCTCAGGGCAAAGGGGAAAAAGGAGTGAAAATGGCAATTTGCAGGATTTAAAAAAAAGAAAGTTAAAGTTAAGAGCACCCTGTCCGTCTCTGCAGGCTAACAAATACAGAAACAGATCAAGAACAACCTATCTGAAATCATAAATAACTTGTTACAACATAGACCATTTTGTACGAGTTATTCATTAATGCAAAGCAAAATCAGCTCTTTACTAAGAAGAATAAGCATCTTAGTATCTTACTACTCGCATCTTTACTTTGTTGAATGTACACTACATATTCTCCGCTCTCACATTGTATAATACTCCAGCAAACATCATTTGGAAACAGCACCCACATTGCATTTCCAATTTCGAATCCTTCTAAAAATATTTTAATGAACTAAACATGTTTAGATGCATCTTCCTCTATAAGCAAATCTCCCACAAATACCATCTTCGTCTTCCAAAAATTAACACATAACATCAATAAAAAAAAAACATCATACCTCTAGACACAAAATGTAATGCAATAAAACATAACATTAACGCACCATTACGAACTACAATTCTCCAATAATACTAGGTAAAAAATACTTTACCTTCACCGCCTTCTTCTTCTTCTTCTTCTTCTTCATCATCAGCCTCAGTGTCATCCACATAATCTTCTCCATACCTTCGATTCAGATAATCAACCGCATCTGGAGTCAAAACCAGATTATCGCAATTCAAAATGTCAAACAAATTAAGGGTCCTCGGCGTCAACATTCTCAGAGTCCCGATATTTCGACTTGATTTACTCACATTCTCCGGCACTTCCATCATCAAAAACATCGATTTCTGCTTCGGGTCCAATCCCCACCTCTTCAACGCCTCAATGAACTCTTTCGTCTTTGGTTTCTCGATTTTATCCCCGAATTCCTCCACAACTATTGTGTTCTCGGCAGCACTGGATAATGCCGTTGCAATCGCCAGTCTTTTCTCTTTCTTGTTGATTTTAATTGACCAGTCTCTAGGCTTGGGTCCGAAGATAACACCACCGCCCCGCCGGAGTGGGGTGCGCATAGACCCACGACGTGCCCGACCGGTTTTCTTTTGGGGATAGGGTTTTTTCCCGCCACCTCGAACTTCACCACGGGTGAGGGTGGAGGCGGTGCCACGACGCTTATTTTGTTGGTCCGTGATGATTGCTCGGTGAACGACGGCTCGAGCGGTTTCAGGTAGGGCCGACTTAAGGTCGAGATAGGTTTCGCCGATTTTTTTGCCGGTAAAGGATAAAATGGGGAGAGTGGAAAGTTGGGAAGAAATGGAAAAGTTGGGTTTTGAGGAGGTTTTGAAAGGGAGGGAAAAGCTGGTGGGGAGTTTGGTGGTCGGAGAGGAGAGGAAAAGGGAGGATGAGAAGAAGGAAAGTGAAGTGGGCGTCCCAGCTGAAGTCGCCATTTTTGTTGTTTGGATTTTGGGTGTGATAGGAAAGCAGAGAAAAAGAAAGCGAATAGTTGAAAGCAGTGTCATATATCCACTGGATTATTTCTTATCCGGCTCGTTTGAAAACGGGCGTTAAATAAAAGAAAATTTTTTTCTTAATATTTACCATTTTTTTAAACGTTTTAAACTTTAAATGCTATAGGTTTTAAGTCTAATTATTTATTTTATTTTGTTGTAATATATAACATGTGAAATTTGATGTTTTATTAGTATAGCCTTTCATAAATTATTTATTTTTAAATCATATGGTTTTTTTGCAAAGCTTTCAACTTCTTTCCTTTTTCCTCAAATCCCAAGAAAACAAATGAGGAAATAATAGAAACTTTGCATCGACTTTCACAGGAAACTATGAATAAAATGCATTCCATAAATACAATCAGAACATTTGGGTATAGGAAATTATATTTCCAGTCTCATGCCAATGCTCCAAAATGATGCTTCCAAGTTCCATGTTGGGAAACTATCATTAAAACCATGTATTTTCTATAGCAAAATATGTACAATATTCTTGCATTTCACAGAATAGTTGTGTGTACAACTCAATTATCATTACACTTGCCACCGGCTACAACTGTTTCTATGGAAATAATAGCCAAATGTACAGCAGAACAAACGTCGGAGACTAACCTGCAGTTATCAACATAACGTCGGGGATGGCGAGACGAGCTTTAAGGAATAAATATCCAGACCACTTCTTTCTATACATTTTCTCTGGTAAGTTTAGTGAGAATAAAACAATGAAAAGACATGGTAGTGTTCAAAATAAATACAAAATTCACCTTACTGAAATATACAAAAAAAATGGGCAAGGGAACTGATGCCCGTAAGCAGGACATGCTCGTTGATGAGGTTAGGCCGTCGAGGCATGAAGAAAGCTTTAGTTGACTCCATTGTTATGCTCAATGTTGATAAGCTATGAGCAAAAGTAATTATCCAGAGCCTGCTTGCACTGGCAGAAGAGACTCTTGTTTGCCTCCAATGAAAATTGTTAGTTTCTTTGGTGCAACAACCAGTTTCAACCATTCTTGTAGCTCTTCACCTTCTACTTTCTCATTTTCTGAATAAAACCAAGAAGCAGACCACAACACGAAGTGCCAGAAATATTTTATTTTCTTTTCCCCCTTTTAAAGATGCAGAACATCTACTTCACAATCAGATTCAAACTGGTCAAAAGTCTGCATGTTACCTACACTAGGATATGGAAGCCTATAGTTCCTAAGATAATTTAACTAAAACAATGCAGACAAGTACAACCGAATAGTTTTTCAGAGAACATTCTAAAAGGAGCAATACATATTCATCATACAGTAACTCAGGTTTGACTTTAAACTAACAACACAACCCTCACAAGATTTTTGACACAAGATAGAAAGAAAAACATAAACAGTTTCTGCATGTTATGCCGTAAACAGAAAAAGGGCAAAGGTTATCCAGAAATCATTAATACAACTTAATGGTAGGAGGCCTCAAATTGGGCAAGTCAACTACCTGCTCCATCCCATATAAGCTTCCATTAGATTTTGTGTTCAGAAAAATATGTCAATGCCAAAAATAAAAAAAGAATGTATACCACATAGAAATTAAAAGAAAAAAAAAAAGGATATACAGGAATTTTAACACATGGAATAGGTAGCAACAGTAGATTACCTACCAGGTGGGCACCAAGCCCCTCCAAAACAGTTGGATTAGCACGTACAACAGAAAGGGCTACTTCTAGGGCAGACTGTAATAATGCCTTCACCTCTCTTTGAACAAGATCAACAAGATGCCCCTGTATATTCTTCTCTGGATCAGTCTTCATTACAGATAGTATAGGAATTGAAAACAAAAAGGATAAACTAAATTTATTAAAGAGTAAAAAGGGACCTGATCTCGTCCCCAAGGAACTGCAACCCCAGATTCATCCATCCCTGCACCAGAAAGCGTAGCTAAAGAAAGAGGGCCTATAGTCTTATTAAGACCATATTCAGCTATAGCCTTGTATGCCATGACTGTTGCCCGCCGAATATCATCAAGTGCACCGGTAGAAACATGGCCAGAATAAACAACTTCCTCTGCAGCGCGTCCAACAAGAAGAGTCACCAAACGGCCACGTAACTCATCAATGAAGAGTAAATATCTATCCTCATTGGTAGGAGGAGTATAGGTAAAGCCCAGTGCTCCTCCTGATCTTGGCAATATGCTCAGTTTCTGCAAACACAGAGAGTTGTTTCAAAGAGAGAAAGAAAAGAGAAGACCCAACTTGATAGATGAAGGAAAATGTGTTACTTCAATGAACTTAATGGATGTATTAGTTAGGCCTGATTTGGATGAGCGGTAGAGTCCTAAATGATACAAATCTGCACTTAATTAGGGAAAATATTCTTTTTCCCTTTCTTTTTTCTGAAAGAATGAAGGAAATTTATTTCATTAGCTGCAAAAGAGTTTCTTCATCTATTCCTTGAAGCAGTAGTACATCAGAATTTCATTTAAAATTTATGAATTGTACTTGAATTCCTTTTTGTGAAAAATTGAAGTGGTCAATCTTATACTATGTAGTTCCAAATCAATTTCGCTGTAATTCAACTAATTTGATTTGAGCATCCAGTCCATTGTGTTTTAACTTTTGTTGAATAAATAATATATACAAAGTACTTCAGCAATGAGCAATGGTGAAGATTTTGGCTAGAAATATAGGCCTTAATTTCAGGCATAGCCGCAAATTTAATATATACAAACTACTTCAGTAATGAGCAGTCATTGAAAAGATTTTGGCTTTTACTAGAAATATAGGCCTTGGTTTCAGGCATAGCAGCAAATTTTGAAGCTTGAAATTCCGTTGGAAACTTGGAATCATTAGTTTGAATCAAACGAATAAGATTTATAAAATGAAAATGCCAAAACTTTACAACCAGATTGGTGAAACTCTGCAACGGGTTTGATGTATTTTGGATAATCTAACCTCAGATTCAACTACAGAATAGGTAAAATACATGAATCTTCCTTCAGAATTTCACATTTCAGAGCAAAACTCAATCCTATCACATCGTGTTTGAATGCTATGGACTAAAGTCAAGTTGTTGAAAATATATTCACATCAAACCACGAAAAAAAGCACAAAGATAGCTATACTAATCAACAGAAGGCATGGCTTATTTATTTAGCCCGGAGGAACTCCGAATATCTATTGTCTAATCTGAAGATATTGTTGTGTTGATTGCATCTGAAAAACCAAAATTTGAGGTCCAAACTAAGACTCATGAGCAGAACTTCTGTGCAGACTCTGCCCCTGCATTTTTAATCCATAAGAGGGAATCCCACAAGGAGAGGACATTAACAATTTCCTTTTGTTGAATTGAGAGCCATTGTTGCCCCACTGCAAGGCTGATTCCATTAAATTTGAGGTCCAAAATAAGACTCCTGAGCAGCACTTCTGTGCAGACTCTGCCCCTGCATTTTTAACCCATAGGAGGGAATCCCATAAGGAGAGAACATTAATAAATTTCCTTCTGTTGAAATGAAAGCCATTGTTGCCCCATTGCAAGGCTCATTCCATTGAAAATGTGTTCTGAGCATGGAAACAGAATTGGGCTCCTGAGGGAGCAACGAAGACTGCTCCGGTGAAGGAGTCCTCGTGTCGTTGAAATTGACAGTTGTTATGTCATGAATGCTAGCTCTTCTCTTATCCTTCCCTCCTGGAAGCTGCCTGATGAAATACTTCTGAGCATGACTAGCCACTTGAGTCGGTGTTCTGGTGAAAACAAAATTGCGTGAGATATTTCTCCAATCCCCTTTGCCATAATTTTTTAGCCCCATTAGAAACAATCTGTGAAAAATCCATCAACATTCTTGTCAATAAAATGCAAGTTAAACATAAATTAATCAAGCAAGCTATCACTCAAATATCTCTAACAAAATCATTACAATAGATATAATTATTACATGTTACATAAAACTAAAAGTACTGCTGATGCAAACAAATAATGTTAGTCATAAATTACAAGAATTTTTAACTGGTTATAGTGTCACCATTTGAAGTAACTTACTTATGCTCCTCTTCTGTCCAAGGAACCCCTTTCTTCCTGTCCTGCTCTGCAGGCCTGCCCGATGAAGATCTCTTTCCACCAAGTGCATATAACTATTTTAATCCATCATAGCCATGGCTATTCACCCAATCCAACGAGAATGGAGAGCTTCTATAACCAGGAACTGGATAGTGCCCTGCTTCTATACTGCTAACATCAGCTTCTAATTCTCTATACTGCTTGATTACATCTCCTACCGTCTTTCCCGGATTCATTGCAGCCACCTTCTGCCATCGATCAGGAGTATCCTTATCATAGACCGCCAAGGCATTCTCGAACATCTTGTTCTCTGCTGACGTCCATTTCGTGCTCTTGCTCTCTTCAAGAAACCGGTTTGTGCTAGGGAGATAAGATGTCGGCGACAGGATTTCCTATATAGGATAGGAGCTCTCTATATCTAGACTAGTTTATAACTGAAAACTAACACTAAACTTCAAGTTCCTTGGTATTTGGTAACCCAATTAGGTAAAAAGTGAGAAGCTGACAGCAGAAGGCAAGAAACTGAGATGAACCCAGAGAACAAAAAAGGCTGGAAATGAAAACCCAATTGGGAAAAAACATGGAATTGAATAAATAAGCAGTGAGGAAACTATAGAGGATAGAAAACTAAGCTCAAAAGGAAAGCTGCCAAGCTTCAGGGAATGAATCCAAAATTTGTTAAATCTTTGAGATGAGAGAGAATAATAAAAATAGAAAGAGAAACGAAAAGCCATAGAGAGAAGGTGGTGGCCTGTGATTGGTTGGTATGGGGTTATTAAATCAGAACTAGGGATGGCATCACGCCGGCGCGGGTCAGTTTTTACTTTCCCCGCCGACCGGATGCTTTAATGCTTTTATCCTATACTTGATCCGTCCCGTTCCGAGATCGTAGCTAAAAAACCTAATCTCGATCCGCTTGAAGATTATTTATCCAAATTTTATCTATCCCGATTTTAATTTAATCTATTATCTATTTAAATTTATTA